TAATGTACTTTATCTTATGACTTGTGCAGTGTTAGAGCAAATGTTTTAAAGGTCTGCTTCTTGCATCCTCAATCTAGTATGAGTCTGGATTCAAATCTTTCGCAAGTGACTACAAGTGCTGAATTTTATCTGTTTTCTTAGAAAGCACAGCATTGTATGCAATCTTTCCACGTATGCGGCTAAATTGTTGCAAGTTTTTCTCAGGCAGGTGATGACTGTTGTAGCACTGTGTCAGTGTTCACAGTTCTTATTGTGAACACTTATTCCTACTAGAGGAAATGTATACATACATATATATATATATATATATATATATAAGGAAAACTTATTCGTACTAGAGAGGCCTAGAAATGTAGCTTAACCCTAGAGGAAAAGTTCCTCCAGCAAAAGAGACAAGCTACTTCTTTGGAGCAGAAAAGAACATTGCTTTTCAAGTAAATTATAGTTGGGGAAGCCTGCTAGCATTTCAGAAACACGCTTCTTTCCCAGGATTGTCTTAAAAGCTTCTTCCTTCTCTTTTTTCAGGCAAAGCAGAAAAAATGCTAGTTCTGTTTCTCAAGACTCCTGGGAGCAGAGCTATTCCCCGGGTGAAGGGTTCCAGACTGCAAAGGATAATCCCAGATATTCCAGCTACCAGGGATCAAGAAACGGCTACATGGGGGGACATGGCTTCAATGCCAGGGTGATGCTAGAAACACAAGAACTGCTCCGTCAAGAGCAGAGACGGAAAGAACAACAACTGAAAAAAAAAACTTCTTCTGAAGGGCCTAGCAATTATGACTCATATAAGAAAATTCAGGACCCTAATTATACCCCACCTAAAGGTCCTTTCAGGCAAGATGTGCCACCTTCACCATCTCAGGTCGCCAGGCTGAACAGATTACAAACACCAGAAAAGGGAAGACCGTTTTATTCTTGAGGTGAAGAAAATGAAGATCAATTCATCATGCAATAAGGAACATTTTCATACAAAGACTTATATTTTGAAAACTTTTTAAATTGATGGTACTAAGGAATATATCTATTGTCTGTTTCAGTGCCTTTAACAATACGGGCAAAGAGTTGGTGGGCCTTATGTCTTTGCTGTTCTGTCTCAAGTGTTAACTTCATGGAAGGATTTTCCACCGTTTGACAATCATAGCAGAAGTGAGCAACGCCACCCCTGCTTACCAAGTCCCGTAGCCCAGTCCAGAGTGGTTGATGGCTTATTACTAGGATTTGTTGTAATATGTTTTACTTTCCATTGAGTTATTTACACCACCATGCAGCTTTGTGGCATAAAATTAATGAATTTGAAGTTGAAGAAAACACTGACATATCCATCCTGGGTCAGAAGAGGAGGTTACAAATCACACTTAAGTGGACAAGGCTCAGCTCTCTTCTGTATCACAGTCTTGAGATGTTTTATGGTGGAGTCATTACCAGTCTTTGTTGATCAATATTTAAGTGTCTATAAGCTGAAAAACTACCCTCTCCTATTATGCACATATGCACTCTTTTGTGTCTCTCCCCACTCTGAGCTTATTAAAAAAGCCCTACCCCGACTCATGAGGAAAACAATATTAGGCTCTCAGTTATCCTTAGGATTCTGTTCCAATTGCCTTATAATCTTACGACATGGTTCATTGCAAATGACATAACTTGAGAGATTATTTACTCAGTCACAGCCAAGCCCTTGATAAGTCTATTTCATTATTTCATTAAATATGGGGAATTATGAACAAACAAACAAGTGTGTTCTGCTTTGCTTTACTTCCAGAGGAAACTGGTCATAAGACAACTGTGTCTTGAAAGACAACTAGGGAGGGAGTCATCCCATGGATATCTGATATGCAGTTGTCTTTGTTTTAGGACATAATATTAAGATGGAAAAAAATCAAAGTTTTTCTTTAGATCAAAAAAATAACTGAAAAGAAAACAATTTCTTCTTTTTACATTTTGTGAAGCTTTGTGGACAACTGCCTTGTGCTTCTGTATACTGTACTGTTGCATTGTGATGTTACTTTAAAAATAAATCTGTAAGTGTATGAGTGAGACGTAAGTGGAGACAAACTGTTACACATCATCCTGAAAACATGTCAGTATCCAAAAATAAGTAAAATGAAAAAGATTGCTCTAGCAGTGAGTAATATTTGAATGTGCATATAGGATATGAGAATTTCTTTTGCAGCAGTTGTTCTTATGTTTGTTGGTCTGAACTTCATGTATTGTAAAAATATAGCTGGGTTGCTGAAGTGCCTGCAAATCCTGATGTGAGAAGGCTTGAGAATGGATCTCAGCATATTATGTACAAAAAGATAAGAATGAAAGCAAGAAAGAAAAATCATGTGTTGCGTGATTTTAAAAATGCCTATTTTTTTTACTGGCACATTTTATTTTTGCGCCAACTCGTTTCTAGAATATATGTGAAATATCAGCAAACATATCTGTGTCTTTTATGCCTGTTTGTTAATGGTTTTCGTTGTTAATAATGTACTCCATGTTTAAAAGTTGTTACTAATGTAAGCACAGTGACATTGGATGACAGTAGCTCTTTTACGCAGAACTTCCAAAACTGTGTAAAACAGCTTTCCATGTACATATGAAATTTAGAATAAAAGGCTGTTTCCATTCTTGTCTTGGTATTGACTGTAGACCCTTATGAGAACTGCTGCAGACACTGCGTTTCAGAAACAGTTAACAGATGTTATTTTATCCTATTCCTAATGGTTTGCGTGTGTGTTTGTGTGAACACTTATAAACATAGGGAAAAAAAAAAAAAAAGATTTACAGCCCGGCTGAATACGTGAATACTCTCCTCAAAGGGAAAAAGTGCTCAGTTTGGCCTCTCATGTTATTTCAAGCCATACCTGTGATGTTTGAAAGACTGGCCTCTGCAGTAGAAGTCTTCCTGTATGCAGTGCTCTCCCTGAAAAGTGTGTGTCAGCATACAGGCAGACACTGGGCTCTGGCCAAACCCAGGCCCATATCAGAAAGACCTCGTGGCAGCCGTGTGTATTTTGAGCTGTAGTGTGAGCCTTGAGCAGGAATATTGGCACGGTGAAAAATGGGAAAAGGCAGATTTACAATTAAAGCAATATTTACAGTGCCAGTGATACTTTGTTCTCCCATTAGTACTGAAGCTGTGTCTGATTGTCTCCATCTTCCTCTCCTTTCTCCTTTTGTTGGATATTGCAGGAATGTCAATCATAATTCTGTATATGCATGACATCAGGCTGTTGCCATGGCAATAATAGTGTCAAATTATTCACTGTGACTTTAGTGTGGGATCTCAAGGGGAAGAGGAGTAGAAGCTGCAAAGTGGACAGGCAGCTTGTGGTACCCAAATAAGCTAAAGATGAGATTTTGTAAAAGACCTAAACTTGCAGTTGTGAGTGAGGAAATAACAGTTTGCTGTTTTGCAGGCCTTGCAGTCTCATCTCCTGATTGTGTTCCCAGATTACACAGTTTGATTCTTCTATGGAATTATTTGGACAGTCAAATAATAGCAAACACTGAGAAATGCATCCACAGGAATGGAAAACAGGTTGAAGTCCTTTTCAAAATAAGGTCTTTGATAAACTGTTGTAGGAAAAAGGGCATATGTTTGGAAAAATATGAAGTACTGCATGTTTTACGTGTGAGAATGGCATATGTTAAAGTTTACCCTTGCATGAAACTCCTCTTCAAGGTGTTAACAATTTGCCATAATTAGATGTGTTCATGAAAGAAGGCAGATGTTCTCTTTGGGCAATGCCTGTGTTATGTTAGCAAAGAATAAGGTTTTTTTCTGGCTTCGTCATCCTGTCTTCTTCCTGACATAGCATAGACAGGATTTCTAATATTAACTCCCATAAGTTGCAAAGGATGATAAGGAAGTGGGAGGGAGATGTTTTAATAGAATGTGACCTTTCGTTCTGCATAGTGAATAGATCTAAAAGTTAATTGAGCTCACTGCATTGCTGTGGTAATTTGTTGTGGACTTATTACCATTATGAGATTAACTCTGACATTAGTGTGTTTAAGAATGATCACAGGACAGACTGTAAGGGAGCTTAGGACATTGAGGAGTGGGTGCAGAGCTTGCACATTTTTCTCTCCTCTAACCCATCTGCAAAGCCTGCTGGTATTTTATCAAAATAATTTGTTAATGCTATTGAAATTCCATGGGAAAGTTCAGTATTATTCATGTAGAAGTCTGCTGCCTTTGTAAAAAAGCTTTCCCCTCTTGTTACAGGGCCTCCTTGGAAATGAGACTGCAGCCTTTGTGAGTTATTGCATAGGCCAGATATTCTAATATATGTCTTGGAGAACTCTGCCATCAAAAACAGCAGAAAATGGCGTAGAGCCCAGCTGAACATGGTCGGAAAGTACAATTGCCATTTATTGCTGGCAAACAGCAGGAAGAACAACAAAACAAAATTTAAACCCATCATGACTGTGAATATATGGCCTGCCTTCCAAAACTGTGCTGATGTTTTGCTCACATTCAGACTGTTTATGAGTGTCTGTAACATAGCATTTCTCTGTGCTGGGTATGCTGAGAAAGGAAAGGAAGAAACATTGGCCAGACGATAGATGCACCAGATTAGCAGCGTTAGCTAAACACAGGATATTCTTGAGTAATTCAAACCTTTGAACTTGTGTCATTGAGACTCAAAGTAGATTTGGTTATTGCATGTCCTGGCTTGCAAGTCTATTTTCAAAATATTTCCTAATTCTACTTGCTATGCCTGACTATTTCTACATCGTTCCCTCCTGAGTCTGGTTCATGGGAGTTGTGAGGAATCTGTCAGGAATGCAAATACAGAAAAAAGTCTCATCTGTTCTTTGTGCCACCTTTGTGCCACCACAGCGCAGCCTTCCAGGGCACTGCAAAGGTCAGTCTTGACCTGGGAGAGGAAGAGTGAGAGTCAGAAAACCAGGATGGGGAAGGATTTATTGAAAGTAGGCTGTGTGTGTTGTGTGCATGTACATGCAAGCAAGAGAGAGAGGCACAGATTGCTTTAATTTTCCTTTAATTCACGTCCAGCTTGAACCCTCTTCAAGTATCTTGTAGCATTTCTTCAGAGTTCTTTCCATCTGTACAGTATCCAGCTGATGATTTGATGCACATGCTGATTGTTTCATGCCCTCTTGTACATCTTTTCCATATTGTATCAGCATCACTCTCTCTTTTACATCTGCTGATTAATTCTGTTTCATTTACTTGTTTCTCCAAACAGCATGGAATTCATTCAGATCCTAGGCTGCTTCTGGCCGTTGATTGATATTTCTCTTTTAGCACTGCAAACTTATTTTAATAGTTTCTGTCCTTGGGAGTAGTGTTATCTTTTGTAATTTGCACTTTAATAATGTTTTAAAAATTGAGACTGGAAGCTTGAGTCAGGATTACACAGAAGCAGACTAAAGAATATGGCTTTGATCGCTATTCTGTGTGCAGCGTGCACTTCTAGGTAGTTGCAAGGATGTCACAGAGAGATGAAGAAAAACATCAAGCCTGTGTGCTTTGGAGAAGAAAAACAAACAAACAAACAAACAAACAACTAGGAAAAGTTTTAAAAATATTTATGCCCACTACATGCTGTCTACTGTAAAAAAAATAATTCCTTAGAAATTGAAAAGCTGACTTCATAGCTCAGATGTGACTGGTGTAAAGACAGCTGGCCGGAGGAGGAAGCTGTCTCTGCCTATTCAAAAGATGCTGCAGCACTCTTACCTTACCAATTAGCTCCTGAAGGTCCATTTTCAGCTGCACATCTTACAGCAACGAAGAACTGGAATGGGCTCACATTCATGCTTTGAGCTAAAAACTGCAGTGACATCTGCCACAGAGGTATAACAGCCGTGTTGATAATAGCCACAGTAGCCTGATTTTATTCTGCTTGGTTGTTTTTCAAATCATCTTTGCTTGTTTCTAAAAAATAACGAGAGAAATGAAGGATGAGGAAGAGGATTAAAATGTGAGCAGAAGAGCTCTCTGCTGCCTTTCCACCATCAACTGCCTGCATGCAGCCACTGGTGGTTGGTCACCTTCTTTTTCTTTATACCCCAAAGTCATGAAGAAAGAGAAACCTGCTGACAGTAACCTCACCTCAAAACTCACACCCTTCCTAGCAATTAACTCTACTGTGCTGCTTGTAAGATGCAAATTAATGATGCAACAAGTAAAGAGACTTACCAAACCTCCATTATTTCCTCTCTGTTTCACTGGGATCTGTTTAGATTCTAGTCACCCCCTAGGACTGAGAGCTGTGCTTTGTTTTTATCCTATATAAAACAGAACATTGTTGTTGGTAGTTGGTAGTAAGAGCTAGTAAACATTTGTGCTTTTCTCAGCTTGAGAGTAACTTTTTAATGTTAGTTTGTACAGATTTCTGCAATAGGTGTTCCTGATGTGTTCCTAGTCCTAACAATATCTCATTTCTAAATACAGAGCATATTGCTGGAACCAGCCATAGCTGGGGACTCTCTACCTTTGGCATTTAAAATGAGTTCATCAGTCTCTCCATTCAACGAAAGGGCTTTTTACAGCTTTTGTAGAGGGAGGAGAGAGAGAGAGAGCTCACTTCCCCTGGGAATGGGAAATACATTCCCATGGTCGCTGTTTGAAGCTGAAGAATTATCTACAGGAATTTTAAGAGATTTCAAGGAGCTGCAGCCTATTGCCAGGAGCCCAGAACAGTTATCGCCTCAGCATTCTGCAAGCTGGAGAAGACATTAGTTCTCACCACTCCACCAACGTAATTCTTATTCCCATTTAGATCTTACGAAAGACTGAAACCCTATTCATGGTATACATCAGATTTTATATCTTCCTTAGGGGCAAGTGCAAAGCTTTGTAATACTTCAGCTGTAGCCAGGTTATTAAAAGCCAGAGGGCTCCTAGGAGCAGGAATGCCTTTGCCTAAAACTTTGTGTCTAATGATGATGTACGTTTTGTTCCATTCTGCCTACCAGCTGTTGGTTCCTGTCTATGACACAGCTGCATCAGTGTACGGTACATTCGGGATCTGCTCTATAGTCCTATGCAAGTACCGTTTTAACAAATGTGTTTGTAAATAAAATTAATTAATACCTGGTCAGTCATTTTCTGGATACCTATGAGCTGTAAAGGATGGGAAATTTATTGCTACAGAAACTACTTTGGCATTTGCACAGGAAAATTTAATCTCAGAAGCCTTTTTTTTCTCTTTAGGTAGCAAAAACTCTACAAGGGTTAATCCAATCACCTATAGCACAACAAGGACTGGAAATGGCAACGTCATGGTTTGCATGGTTGATGGTTTGCAAAGGTCTATTTTATAACCTGGATTGAGTTCATTGTAATTTCCCACACACTGTTCCTTGAAAAACTGCATAAAATCATATTAAAAGCAAAAGGCACTAAATTACACAACCTGTTGCTTCCCATAAGCTCAGTTGATAGTACAGCCAGCAAGGTAGAATATTTACATTATGACTGTGAAATGATTTGTGTTTGAATATCCCATTCTTTGTTTAAAAAAGAAATCATAGTATTTTTGCAAAAAGTAACATACAGAATTTTACAATTGTCCATTCTTGTTTTTCAAAATCAGTTTGCATGAATAATTTTCTCATTTTTATGCACAGTTTTTCCACATTTTGTTGACTAAAATGTTACTAATCTAATTTCCTATTAAAAAACTCATTTCCAGCATTGCAGAGCTGAAAGGTGCTACCAAGCATTTAGTCTTCAATTTACATACAACAAACCCTGTAATCTGATGGGGGATTTCACACAAGGATGGCTTCGTGCAATTACATGGGCAAAGAAAAAATTTCATCCAGGGCTCTGTTCTACAATAATTTCATCTGTTGGTCTCCCATTGAGAGTTCTCCTATTGCTAAATTGCTTATTGATGTGGACTTAAAAGTAGAAAAATCCACACGATGTTGTCATACTTGGTTTTCGATGCTGCTTCCTTTTTATTTTTTTTTTCCTTTTTAATTATAATTTGGATTTGTTAGAGAGGGACAAAGTAAACAGATTGGAATAATTCATTTGAGTTAATGCTCATTGACAAGAAAACATTAAGCATTCTCCAGATGAAGCAGCAGTCATAAAAGACAGAAGGATAATCCTAACATTACAACACAAGCAAATTAGTTTTCTGATATATATTCCAGCATTGCATAAAGCTGTACCAATTCTTAATACTTGCATAATAATATGCACTTTTTAAAGATGCCAGAAATCATTATTACAACAGAGTGAGTTCACTGTTTATGTTTATTAATGTGGGAATGTTGGAAGAGTTATTAGATATTAAATGTCATTTTTAGAGTGATTGAAGCTAAACAACTGTAAAACAGATTGAAAAGATTTGAGCAGATAAATGCAAATGGAAGAGGAGACCTTCACACCCTTTCCTACAGTGGAAACACATCTTGATGCTATCCCCCTTGCACTGTGAAACACGTGCAACCTGATGAACCAGCTGCTTTGCAAAGTGGTGAGAGAAGGCTGAGGGCATGGGACCACAGTAAGCATGAGACTGAAGCAAATTTCCTGCTTCTGAATACAGGGAAACATTATGTTTTAGCTCATCAACATCTTTCTCGCTCTCAAGAACTGGCCCAGTTTGTCTATATTTGTCCATAGGTGGACCACTGAGGCGGTGTGTTTTTGTTTACTGGTTAGGTTGGATACAAAATTCTGCCCCATCATTCTGTGCCAACTAGACCACTGAAGTTGCTCCTCAAAGCTGGTACATCAGTTTGTTAACACCTTTCCTCTAAACTGGATGGGAGGAAAGCAGGGCAGAACTGGTCCTTAAAAAGCAACAGCTGTACCTGATGAAGCTGCCATAGGGTCCTGTGATTATGTACACATGGTCCAAGCAGATTGTGATCTTCCTGAAGTGAGATGAGGTAGAGAGAGAGAACAAGAACAACAGAGTATAGTAGTTGTGTAGTAGAGTAATAGGAAAGTGAAGGTTTTTTTTTTCCAGAAACTTGCCTTTTTGTTTAGTTGTTTGGTTTCGTTTGCCTTGTTTTCTAATAAACCCACATTAGTCTATTTGAATATATTACCTTTCTCTCCTTACAGCTTTTGCTGCTGGAATAGTAAGCTGCCAGAGCAGAAGCTGTTGCTAAATTAACTAATGTTAATTTAACCTGTTAAATTTTTCTGGAATTAGCAGGTATGCTATGAATTCTTCCTCCACCGCAGAAGGATTGGGATGCAAAATTCATCCTCGGAAGGAAAGTCTGGAAAACTGCTTTAATAAAAAAAAAAAAGGAAAAGGAAAAAAGGTGCATTACAGAGCAGTTGATCGATCTCGTTCCACCACGTGCATTCTCTCAGTCCACACTAGACCATAAATGAAATGTGGTTAAGGGTTTATCTCCCTATAAATACAATGTATGTTTATTAAATGGTGACTGATTTGCATCATTACGACATTTGATCAGTGGTATTCAGATCCAGCTGGTAAAGTTTCAGCAAGAGCTGGGAGAGCAGCAACAGTTCCTCTATTGTGTTCAGTTGGCGTTGCGAGGCAGCAATGGGAGCAACACAGCCAGCAGTGTGGTAATCTAATACAGAATGCACGCTGCTCCTTTTGTTAAACATCTTCCCCTGAAAATGCTGGCAAGTACACATTGTTTCCTTATCATTTTTTTTCCTCTTGAGAGATTTCAATTCCATTTACCCCACGGGCCCAAATCCTTCCTGAACACATGAGTTAGACAGCGAGGAGGATTACTAGAAATAGTGCAGACAATGACCAAAAGCCTCCTTGCATGTCTTTTTTTCCAGCCAGCCACCCACCTTCCATTATCAAGGGAAAGAATACCATATCTGACTGCATAATCAAAATCCAGTGACCTGTCAGAGCAGGCAGTAAAATAAAGCTCTCTTGCTGTTTCCCTTTGACTAGGCTTCATTTCTAGAACCCTTTTAACCCAATTTTTCTGACAGATTGTAACTTGTAGGCATTTAAGGATGCAACCACTGAGCTAATATGTTTTAGAGTGCGCTTTTATAATATATATGGTATATTTAGTGTCCCGATTTCTGGTAAAATTGGAGCACCCTGATGCCAAAGTAACAGACTTTAATTAAAAGAGCTACAGCAAAGAGAAGTAAAAGCACATGAACAATAGAAATCCCTGACCAGTTTTTCCAACAATCTTTCTGCCTGTGAAATTTGCCAGCACATTCCTGATGAATGTCTAAGGTAAAAATGAATGTTCATGTGGATCTTGAATGCCATTCAACATATGGAAAGAACTACTTACTTTTCTTTAAATACAGTTCCATGGAGCCACCAATGAAAAAAAAAGAAAAAATTCTTTTTGTTCTTTTTTTAATAAATCATTAAATTGCACTTGGATGATTAATACTGGATGAAAGTTTGGAGAAGGTTACACAGGATACCAAAGGGCCACATTCTCCTGTCGCAAAACTGAACTCTGTACCTCAGAGGCAGCTCTGGATTTTGTAGTGAATGAAGGAGAGCTCAGTTTTAAAATGTTTTCTATACAGTATGTTTGATTTACCTCACCTGACACAAAGAAGCAGCAAGGCTCAACACAAGTACAATACTCCTCTCATTGGAATTGTGAGGGAAAAGGCAAAGCCTGATCTCACAGCTACAGCATCATCACATGCTGAGGGGGTACCAAAGTGAGTGCCTGGGTGAGTCCCACACCTCTCTATGGTCTCTTTGTCTCCAGAGGTAGAAAGTAGGCAAATTTTTCCCAAAGATGAAAAATGGTCCTACTTGTATTACAGAATCAGTGGCAAAACTGACAAATACTGTTTGTCCCATTTATTAGGACAATTAATAAACTGACTCCTAACACAAATTGCAAGTCAACCTATGAGCATGGTACCACATTCAGCAGCAAGCAGCAGACTGCCTGATTGTATTTTGTTAACACTGAACC